CACACTTACCGCAGCACTGTGATGGTCAGTATGGTCAGGGCAGTGTCCACTATGTCCAGCGCCTGACCCACGTCAGAACAGGCCAGACTGTTGACTGCCAACACGTAGTCTCCCTCCATCAGCGCCGACTCGCTCGCTTTACCGTCTGACACGATCTGGAACATTGGTATACACAGACAGTGAGTTTGTTATCATCATCATCATCATCATCATCATCATCATCATCATCATCATCATCATCATCATCATCATCATCATCATCATCATCATCATCTTCCTTCTTTGACTCTTCCTGCTCCTCTACCTCGTCTTCCTCGTCTTCCTCCTCCTCCTCCTCCTCCTTCTCCTCCTCCTCCTCCTCCTCCTCCTTCTCCTCCTCCTCCTCCAACACAAATATGTCTGACAAGTGCCGATGGACGTTAGTAAGTGAGTTTATTCAGTGTTTAAGGCCATTGACCCATTTAACATCAAATAAAGATGAGCAGAGATGCTACAAGAGTAACATACCAAAAAAAAGGAGGCGAGATAAGGACGATAGGAAAGGAGCAAACCACACTAGAGCACTCAACCACTAACCACAAGTCAGGTAGAATGTTTACTACTTTGATAAAAGTAATGAATGCATACGATGAAACCCTCAAACGCCCTAAGTAATAAACGAATAGACATGTACAACAAAATCTTCAAGTGACTTATCGTTTCACGATGCTATATTCACCATAAACGCCAAAAGACAGCGGCCAAATTATAGCAGATAACTCCGACACAGATCAGGAAAGCCACATCACTCTCAGTGTCTCATTAGTCTCATTATTGGCCTTTTTGCAGCCTAGATATAGCGTTCATCCAACGTGCTGGCTACGAAATTTGTGTTTAATGGGGCTTTGCATTATTAGAAAATACGTTAGGTAGTCGCATGACTTTCACCCACACCGGGAAGATGGTTATTTCAAAAGTCTGACGAAATTACATGCGGCATTCGGTCTCAGAAGGGCGTGTGACCCAGTAGTAGATTTAACGGTCCAAACTTCTTCAGATCTTTGAAGGAGGCAGAATCCTACAGTTTTATTGTCAAGCAATCTGCCCCCCCCCCCTCCAACCACCTAACCGGTCTAATAAGCGATGGCCATTGGTATCACTGGTTCAGTTCGGTTGGGTTCGGATGGGTTCGGTTTGGTCGTCGGTGCTAGCCCGGCTTTCCTTCATGGAGGGGCAAAATCTACCACTGTGGCACAAACCGATGAAACCAGTGATGGCCTTCAATAAACAAACGCGTTTGTTTTCAAGGCCTCGAGTCGGCAATCGGTTTGGGGCAGGGAAGGGGTCCATTTAATTTTGTAGTGTGCACTGAAGCCGCCAGAAACCGAACCGAACCGAACCGAACCGATCCTCCGGAGGGCACCGTCTACAACCATTGGTGTAGTGCTGTACCACCGACTACTGTAGTGCTGTACCACCGACTACTGTAGCGCTGTACCACCGACTACTGTAGTGCTGTACCACCGACTACTGTAGTGCATTGTTACATGTTGTCAAGCCACGGGACAGTCGTTAGTTTTGTAACTCCGATTGAGGCTACGCACATAGACAGTTCGGTGCTTGCACTTACGAAGATAACCCAACAACAACAGCAGCAGCAGCAACAACAACAACAACAACAACAACAAAAACAACAACAGCAACATCCGGGAGCTGGCACTGTGGGCACGCTGGTAGTTAATTTGGTATCATGCTCTGGCATACACTACGGATGAATGGAGTTCGAATCTTAATAGGTACGTTATTGTGCTTGCGCAGCTTCAGTAGTCATCTTTTATCACGGTTTCAAACCTACTTCGCTTGGGTCCTACCTCAAAGGGAAGTTTAAAAGATTTCGTTTCTTAAATAAATTCATGATGTTGAAAACGAGGTTTGGGGGGAGTGGGAGAGGGTAGCCACATACTGTGTCACACTACATCATACTATACTATATATTATCATACGTACAGGTCTTGCCTTATTTTTCTAAATCATACCGTACCACACGGAATACTATACCATACCATATCACACCCTACTTTTCTAAATCATACCGTACCATACGGAATACCATACCATACCATACCATACCATACCATACCATACCATACCATACCATATTTTTCTATATCATACCGTATTAAACAGAATACCATACCATACCATACCATACCATACCATACCATACTTTTCTATATCATACCGTATTAAACAGAATACCATACCATACCATACCATACCATACTTTTCTATATCATACCGCACTAAATGGAAAACCATACCATACCATACCATACCATACCATACCATACCATACCATACCATACCATAGCATAGCATAGCATAGCATAGCATAGCATACCATACCATACCACACCATACCATACCATACCATGCTATACCATACCATACACATACCATACCATACCATACCATACCATACCATACCATACCATACCATACCATACCATACCAAAACATACCAAACCAAACCATACCATAGCATACCATAGCATACCATACTTTTCCATATCACACCGTACTAAACGGAAAACCATACCATACCGTACCATACCAACCGTGCCGCACCATACCATACCATACCATACCATACCATACCATACCATACCATACCATACCAAAACATACCAAACCAAACCATACCATAGCATACCATAGCATACCATACTTTTCCATATCACACCGTACTAAACGGAAAACCATACCATACCGTACCATACCAACCGTGCCGCACCATACCATACCATACCATACCATACCATACCATACCATACCATAC